AGTTGTACACCTAATAATTTCATTTATATTAACACTGTCAAATAAATTAGATGCTATAATCAATAGAATGTTATCTATTTATATATAATATCGGATTTACATCAACTATTAACGCTCTTGGCTGTCGCGACTACTGTTGTAACTTTAAAATGAGTTTATGATTGTATTGTAAAATAATAGGCACCATGCAGTCGCCATGTAGAGATAGTTAAGAACTATACACAGCTAAATCTTGCTGTTGGGAACACTGTTGATCGAGTTAATTGTTGATTAAAATTGATCAAAGTTAATCGAAATTGGTTAAAATGATTCTAAGTGATTCTTGCAACAAAACTTATAAATCTTAATATATTAACTTTATTATGTATATAAAAATTTTTAGATACGCTACAATATACACAATGTTTCCCGTCTTTTCATTGGTATTAGACAAAGATGTATCAGGAAAGATAGCGCTTACTTATCCGGAACTCTATAAAGAACTTAGTAAAGGTCGTTCGTTATCATATAAAACTTTTTTTATGTGGGTTTTAATAAGTATATATCAAGGTACCTGCAGTTTTTATTAAATTTAGATAATATATGTACAATATACACGAAAAGAGAAAAAATACATATCTTTTGCGTCGTAATATTCCAGGAGGAGTAATCATGTATGGCGCACTTATAATGTTCGAAGATGAATTTATTCATATAGTGGCCATAAGTTTTTCAGCGCTAGTTTTGACAGAATTAATAATGGTTGCTTTAACAATTAGAACCTGGCATCATATAATGATGCTTGCAGAAATCTTTTCTCTAGCGCTCTATTTATTATCGTTGGTCGTTCTAAAGGATTATTTCGGTAAATTTACAACATCTCACAACAAAGATAATTAAGCAAAAATGCACGTCGTTAATATACATTATTTCTCTGATTATTTTAATATAGATGCCGAATTTATTAAAACAACAGACTTCTTATGGAAGGTATTGGTGATAACACTGGTCTCGTGTATGCCGCTGTACATCCTGAAATTTTTGAGGAAGAAATTTTCACCTCCCAGTTACACTAAATTATCCTAAGATCTTATGCGGAAATTAATTTGTCTGCATATAGATGACAAAGGAGGATAAATATCAAACATAATTTATTAATACAAGGAAGAGCTGTAAAAAAATTTTCTTTTGTTCTACAATATCCCTAATCCAATCCAATTAATATAATTTTTAATGAAATAAAAAAGATATCTCATATGCACCATTTTATAACAACCAACTATTTTTGTAACAATCAATTTTTACGACATTAGTCCTAAAATGGACTAATTTAACAGGAAATATAATATCGCAAAAAAATAAAAACCATCAAAGTTTCCAAATTTCTTGTATTATATCTGCATACTGACTTTAAGGAAATATATGGATTGGATTAAACTTGTTATAAGCGAATCAACTTCTTGATTCTCCGCATAATGTTAATTCTTCCTGCAAGCTTACTTACTATGCATCTTAGCTTTAGATTAAATACATGACTTTTTTTATACTTGATTTTCTTTATACATATATTTCTTTTGTTTGTATATTAATTTATTTTTTAATGCATTGCCAAAGGTCGCATCTTCCATTTCAGTGTGTTCACACGCACACATCGTGACATTTATATATCTGCTCTAAATACCATTCATTTTCGAAATATTAATTAGATACGTTCTCTAATCGAGCATAACAGTATTTCTCATGTATCTAAATCTTTGAGCATTCGCATGGATCACTACAAATAATCTTAATTTGTATAACAATAACTAGATGCATTTGACTTAAAGAAGGCTAGAATTAAACGATTAAAGTATAGAATTTGAGTACCAGAAATAAAACTGTGATTTTCGCGAACTAAACCTAACCGGCATTTTTTGCACTAATGTTATTATATTATATAAGAAGCTTTATTCTCTGAAATTACTCGAAAAACATTTTTTTTTAATGTTATCCCTTCAGAATATTTCTATATGGGGGACATATCTTTTGTTATCATTTATATTCCCAGCACGTAAATAAATAATAATACTAGATTACATAATGTTTTATATTCATGTATATATTACAAGCATGTAGAACATAACTGTAATCGTTGTTATCTCTAATATAAAACGTACCGCAAGTAATATAGTTATTCCTAGAGGACTATTGTTTGCTATGTAATGCGTTTATAATTAATTTATTCACAAATAAAATAATATATTCCTTTTCCTGTGATATTTGCATTGTTTACACGATTTTCACATACCTATTTTATCAAGGTAGTATCTTACAGGGCTTATACGTAAAAGTCCCATTTTTTTTCTAGAAAAACATTTATTTTTAATTTTATCGGATAACTACATTAAGTTTAGCGACTGCTGCTTTTCCTACTTGATCATGAATTCTATTGACTGCGCTTTGAGTCAACGTGCGCTCCATGTGTCTGTACACTATACGGTAACAATGAGATGTTTTTTTAGTCTTTGGATGTATGAATTCGTCTTTCAATGAAATCTGCTCAATGACATCACCACCTATTTCTCTAACTACATCGTAGAAATCGTGAGAAGAATAACTTCTGTCTTCTGGCAACCAGAAACTTATGTCACTGTTACAAGATGGATATATACTGATGGGCTAAAAAATTACATTTATGTCAATTTTTTATAAGTTGTAACTAATAAGTTGTAATTAACAAAATGTACAGAAAGATGACAACATTCGAAATAGTTCTTCAACGTTTATCTCACCTTGTATTGTATATGTGCATTAGGATTGTCTACTTTGAATTGATGTAGGAAGCCCGCGTCGTTGCTCCAGAATAATCTTATGTCTGAAATATTATAAAGTTGCATGGCCAAACGTTCCAAGCCGAGACCGAATGCCCATCCGATCCGATCCGTGGCACCGGATTTCTGTAGAATTTCCTGACGCATAATACCGCAGCCTAATATTTCGAGCCAATTATCGTTGTGTAATATTTCTAGCTCCCATGATGGATGTGTGAATGGAAAATATTGGTCGACCCATCGGCACTGCATTTCTAACAAGAAATGTATTCAAATTAATTTCAAGTCATTTTACCCACAACAGGAACAAATTTGTTATGACACTAAAGAGATAGGTATGTGGGTTCTTGGAATTCACTAAAGTTTTTTGTTATTAGTTTTATTTTCTTTAAGAAAATTTTTTAAAAACTTTTTAAATTCAATTATATATTCTCAATCTATGGTATAAAGCTGTTTGAAAAACAAATAAAATATTATTGATAGAGTTGATTGCTCTAAATCTCATTAGAGATATAAATATGCGTTAAATATGCGTTTTTTTTTAGAAAATACTATTTTTAAATTATTCTTAGAGTTATTAGGGTCCATATGTTCCAATTATGAGTTAATGGAGAAAAACTGTGACGAGTTAATTTCGCTTAAAAATGAAAAACGTGCTTCAGTAAAATTGAAAATATTGAAGAGAAGTAATACCTTTTCCAAAGATAGCTTGTGCTAGACTAGTAAGAGTACTCTTCAGTTCCTGCTCCATCACTTTCACCGCTTCTAAGCTATGACAAGCCTGCTTGTCAGCACTTTCTATCCCTCTGTGCTCAAACAATTTAAGATTTTCGGAATCGTTCACGTCGCGAAATATCTCCTGCGATGTACGCAACCTGACTGCGTCGACTTGGTGAAAAACTGGGTAGTGCGTTCTGTCAATTTCATCACGTCGATACACGTCGCCGATGACGAGAAAATTATTCAATCCCATCGAGATTAGCTCAGCCTGATGCGCGGTGGTGTGCGCTCTAAGTAACGTATCTTGATTAATAAAGTAACAATCAGTTTTCTTTCTACTTGGATGATCCTTTGGTACAAGAAGGGAATCAAAGTTTTGCTCGACTGTGACTACAGGACATATATTGTCGTAGATACTAAACGATGGAGTCCCACTTTTACTGCGGAACTGTCCATAAAAGTAATTCATGATGCGTTGACGTAAATGCGAGAGTGGATGGTATTGCTGAACATGTAGATTTCTCCCCAATTTAGCGATAATGTTTGGCGTGACATTTGTCCAATCGTCCGTTGTATATTTTTGACCCAAGAGCACCAGTTTGTTACTCTTATCGACATTGGCAGCAACTGAGACTTTTCTATAGGCTGTTTTAACATTATTTATCAATGTTTCCTTGCAGAAGCGACACGTGATACACCTGTAAAAAATATACTTTAAGCAGGGATTGGCATCAGTCATCTTGTTCAAGTTGAAATATGTTTTGATATATTTACATACCACATTATATTAAATGTTAATTAATTTTCTCTTATTTGCAAGAAAATGTGTTGCGAAATATATTGATTCACATTGACTTCAAAGTTGCCTCAATATCTTCAAGCATGTGTATCTTGCATAAACTATAAAAAATAGATTTTTATTATTTATTTACATACTTAATTTACATATTTTTGTTATACTTATTCACACTGTATAGATAAGATTATTTCGAAATCAATTGCAAATACTTATTCATATTGATTTCAAACTTGTCTTTGTACAAATCTTGAACATTTTCATCTTACATAAACTAAAAATAGATATATTTATTACATTTTTATATACATTTCCATTTAATCTCACTATACATATAAGGCTATTTTAAAATATATTATAATGTAGGCAGGTTAAACTGTGTGCAACATTTGTTTATTTTGTTTGCCTAAAAGGAAGGAGTGCTTTAATTCACATGAAAGTTGTTAATTATTTAATATAATTGTGCAAATAAATATCCTGAGGTTATGTAACAAAACACAATTTTTTTATCAGAATTGATAAATTCGACAAACGTCGAATATACAATTTATAATAAATACCAGTGATATTACCGTAATTTGCGACTCGCATAAGTCTACTTATACATGGAATCTTAACGAGTAACCTCGAAACTCGAAACGCCATCAAACCACCGATACTCACAATTCTACATACATAACCACAATCCACATAATCATGTGCCATGTGCCCGGACCATCCGACCATCACAGTAGAGTCGGATTTAGCTACGTTTAAATTGCAGTGGATTTCTAGTTTTTAGAAATAATGGGTCCTACTCGAGACGCGATTGTAAGCCTTTATCGGAATTTAATCCGGGAAAGCAAAAAATGGAACTCGTACAATTACAGGTAACATAATATTATTGTAAGACGATTTTTATATTAAACACCCAAATAAATATCTAATTTGTTTTCCTTTATATTTTTTTTAAGAGATACTACTTAGGATTTTGTCCCCAAGAATTCTTATAGCAATATATTAATAAGATTTTGTTCTGTATATATTTATATTAGAAATAGTATGTATTGGTTTTTTTATTTTGCAAATAATTGTAATCTGTGAATCATCTAATTGTGTTTATGTGTTTTTTATGGCAGAGAGTGACAAAGAGTGTATGTAAAAAATAATCCTTTGGTACTTTTCAGAATGTACGCTCTGCGAAAAATACGACACGAATTCAAAGAGAATAAAGCGTTAGAAGATGAGGAAAAGGTTAGGCATTGTTATGCAAAAGGACTGGAAACACTGTCGATGATCAAGAAACAGGTCATATTGGGCGATCTCTACAGTACTAGGCCCTTAATTATTGAAACTAAAAGCAAACCACACAACACAGTAAAATAGAATACAATTGCAATCATTTAATTTAATATATCGCATCGTACATCTGCTTTTATCTATCATTTTTAATATTACAAAACAAGCTAAGATTAAGAAGATTAGTGTTGCTATGGAACACTAGATACAATAATCATCAAGTAGCATTTATCAAAAACATACTTTAAAACTGTGATTATTTGATTATTTCTTCACATATCTTCTTCGATATAAAAAGTAGTTTCTGTAGCAAAGATATTTCATTTACATGACCATGTATATTTTGAAGTATTTTTGTATTTATGTGTGCTCTGTATATACGATTAGATATTGTAAATGTTTTTCAGATTGTTAAAAAATAAAATTTTGTTAATGTTGTAACATTGCAGATTTTACAATTAATACATCAGTTATATGTTACAAATATAGATAATACTAAATATAGATAATACTAATATTAAATATAAAGATAGAATTTAAATCTGTCAAAGAAATAAAAGGATATTTCTGTAATTGTATTATATTTGTCATTTCTAAAATTTTAAGTACTTGATCTATTATGATGGTTGTCGATTTTTCAAAATTTTTATTAGTTAAAAAATATCAAATAATTTATCATAGTAGATAAAATAGATTGTGAATTTACCGAATGTCTGCATTCAGTAAACTTTAATTATCTACATCAATGACTATTTTTTAAATCGACAAAGTATCAAGAGAATATTATAATTACCATATAGAAAAGATAGGAAGTTGCATAAAAAATGTTAAAACTCAACTTTGAAAAATTGATAAAGTATAAGCGAAATGCAAGTAAATAAGAAATAATTTAAATAACTCCAAACTGGTATTTAAATTTAAAAAAAAACCTCTCTTTACTATATTTATTATTTTTTATTTATCAATATTATACAAAATTATAATCTGAGACTGGCATAATTGTTAATTTCTAAAACTCAACGATAAAAATAATTGTGTAACTCTTGAATACTAATGTTATAAATACTATAAACTATAGTATAAAGAATATAGATATATAAAGATAGTGAGAAAAGCGCAGCAAAGACTGATGAACACTCCGAGCAGCTTGGTGATCAGCTGTTTCAAGATGACAGCTGATCCGGTGCGCGGTGCGTAGTACAACGCGACGGAATGATTAGGAGATATATCGTGTAGTGATAAGGAGAGATAACAGCTCGAAAATGGCCACAAGAAACTTAACGGAACCCTTCGTTTTGATGCGAAACAATGCTCTGCAGAGTAGGCACATTTACGCCGAACAGGTGCGTGTACTTAACCTATTCCAACATAAAATTGCTTTTATCTTTATTCTATAATACTCATAATGTTTTACATTAAATTTTTCAGAATCTTACTGATAGCGTCGCACTGGTGGAATCGGATTCCGGTGCATCCGACAATGTCGAACTGAAGGGTGTGGATAGTGATGCACCACCCACCTGGGCAGATGCCTTGGAAGAAACACAATACATCCTGAGCAGATTACGGGTGAAAATAGATAGCCTGGTCGAGCTGCACTCTAAGCAGCTCACCAGACCTACTCTGGATGATACGTCTCAGGTTTGCAAATTCCTCATACTGTAATTCGGTTTCTTAAGCTACCAAGATTCAAATAAACTATTCTGTCACTTGTTCTCTTGCAAAAGAAGAATGCATCGACTAAGTGAAATGCTTAGAAGTCATAATATTTGTAATTATCGGGATTTGAAATATATTTTATATTACTGTGTAGGAGGAAAGACAAATGGAACAACTGACACGAGAGATTGGACGTGCATTCTCCAATGGCTATAGACAAGTACAAACAATTAAGTCAGCTGGCAGGCATGAAACTAAGCCTGCGGAACGTCGGCTAGCTAACAGTGCTGTAATGGCACTTTCGACTGCCTTACAGGAGTTAGGTCTTCGATATAGAAGTGCACAGACTCATTATCTGACACGTATGTTCTTCGTAATATAATAAAAATAATCAACTGTTAATATATTCAGAAACTATGCATTTTGCGGGTTATCTCCGGGTGATTTCCAACAAGGACACAGTCAGGCACAGTGTAACACAGTGAATCATTACATCCTTATTTGCCTATGTTAAACAAGGATGAACCCTCTGTGTTCAGATCCATTATTAAAATGTCAGCATTTCGTAAACATCACTTCATTAAATGACTACAATAGCTATTACTATATATTTCCTAAAAAAAAAAAAAAAAAAAAAAAAAGGGCTATAGAGATACAAAATCCCGATAATCTAAATAAAGATAATGGCTGTGTAAATATATGGAAAAGTATTTTCCCGATTATTGAAGATTGACTGTCCTTCCCCATACCTTCACCTTCTCTGCCTACTTTAGTGTATAGAAAGGAAATCCTTCGCGGGAATCCTCGCAGTCCTTGCCTTAATGAAGTCAACCGTAATGTTCATGTTGGTATTCTAATAATGGATCTGAGATTCAGATCCATTGTTATTTCCGTAGATAATCCGCGAAATGCACAGCTTCTGTATAGAAAATACCCATAAAAGCCTCAAAAGCAACTGTTGATATTTTTAATAAACTAATATTATTTATGTACATATCCAATAAATCATTGCAGAGGTGAAATCAAGAGAAGAGAGGAATAATCAGTTCTTCGCTGAAGATCAATCTCTTTTAAATAATATAGCAACCGATTCTTGGGTGACAGAACTAAACGAGGCAGCTGGTGATTATTGGCCAAAAAATGAACAAAGACAGGACTCGGTTTTACTGCAGTTGGAGGAACCGGAAGATAGGATGAAATTAGCAATGGAAAGGGAGGAACAGATTGGAAGTATAGTTCAAAGCATAGCAGACTTAAAACATATTTTTAAGGTAAATTATATGTATATATAAAAATTATTATAAATACTCATGATAATAATTACAAGTAAAACTTTTCGATTTGGTAAATTCAAATTGTTTTGATATTTATTTTGATACTAGTGCATAATGTAACATGAGTAGCATGATAAAGTCTTGAACAAAAATCTGGATTTTTGTTGTGTACAGGATCTTGCAGTAATGGTACAGGATCAGGGTACTATTTTAGATCGAATCGATTACAACATAGAGCAAACGCAAGTACAAGTACAGGAGGGCTATAAACAATTGAAGAAAGCTGACTCATATCAGAAGGCTAATAAAAAATTGTACTGTATTGTGATTCTCGCGGCTGCTATTATATTACTTAGCTTCTTGTTCGTCATATTTAAGACGTAGAATCAACTATAATTAGAATAAAATTAACGTGAAAATATACTTGTTGGTATTTATCGTGTTCCATAAAATGAAACGTCTTTATAGAACTGTACATAATGATGGAAAAAGCTATTTTTTAAAATAGTCCGTGCAATTTTCCTCAAGTGTTATTGTCAGGAAAGAACAATTATATTCGTAAAATTATGACGAAATGTTGTTCGGTCCATCTGTTCATTGATTATATACAATATGATAGAAATAATAACTATGAATGTGGCATTAATCTTTTTAATCAATGTTAATCTTGCTCTGTATAAATTAGTTTTAAAAATAATTCCTCATAATATCGTAATCCTCATAATACCTGCAATTTTAAATGGTTTCGCTGTATTTTAATTCTTATAGTATATACTAAGAGTGACCGCAAAAATAACAGATTTAGGATAGAATAATTTATTTATATATATATTTCACATTAACTGTATATTTTTTATAGCGATAAATTATGTTTTTTTTATTTATGTTTAATATTATAACGATAAAAATGGAAAAAAATGCAGTTTGACTTTTTATATCTGTATTGTAAATTATTCTGTACATCCAATTGTTAAATGATCATTCCATAATAAAACAATGACTGAAGTTAAGTCTTGTGAACTATACATATTTTTTTGTGTACATACACAGCATGATCTATATAAGATATTACAAATTGTTTTTTAGAAAGCAAAAAAGATAACAATAAGATTCTGTTGATACTTTAAAATTAACTGGGAGCTTTTAGTGACAAATAAGATTATTCGCTATTATATCTTCGAAAGAGGCAGGTGATGATTTCTCCTATTTCCGGTTTAAATTAAAATCATAAATTTATAACTTCTTATATAAATCGGTTCTCATTCTGCATGTAAAAATACGTATCTACCAAATCTAATGTGCTCAAGATTTATTTATGTCTCTTAAGTCTCTTCTACTTCATTGCATCTTCTTGAACATTGCATTTCCTATCACAGATTGTGTATTAAGTATTTTTGTATCCATACGTATCCCTGTCATCATAGCTAATATCTATATATGAACTTTCATTTTAATAAAATTTCTAAAAACTGTTACTATACTATGAACTATAAATGATACGTTTTAATGTTTGTTTTACCTTCTATAGCTACAGTAACTCGCTTACTGCTAATATCAAATTCGTAACATTATATTAAATACATTTTAGGCTTATCGTTACAGCATGTATTATAACCCTAAGTTTAGATGCCGTACATTTAATACAACAAAAGAATATTTCTTGCATTTTCACAATACGTTATCAAAAAGTAATATAAAAATCTGTGTTTTAAAATATAATAAAATTATGAAAAGTACGTTTCTCTTTTTTAAATCCAGCTTTAAATTGAATAAACTAATTAACTTAATTTTAACATGTGAATCTTAATTAACGTATGATTGTATACAATTAGATATCATAAATAAAATTATGTAAAATATAAATAAAGTTCGTAAATTAAGTGTAAATAAAAACTATTAAGTAATAAAAGAAGATGCAAAAAGTAAATTTTGTGGAAACATTTTGTACTAAAAAGGTAGTATTACGTACATATAGATTATACTAATAACAGAGTGTTACTAGTCTATTTCACTAAATCACAGCTTATATAATAAGAGATGTAAAGGCATATTACACGGCGGATTAAAGATGTTACGTAAAACTTAAGATGAGATAATCGTCTTATTTCGTGATATTCTGGGAAAAAATGTTTTATATATAATTTTATATATTTGTATATAACTGAACATATTTTATACATAATTACATATAATTATATATATTTATGTATAAAACATTTATTTTTTATGTATGTATAAAACATTTTTTCCCGGGATGTGTTTTCATTTGCAAATTGTTAGGAAATAAAAATACGTAATGTAAAAATGCTTGTGCATTTGGATAAGCACAATTGTCCGGCCATTCTAAAAACTTGTAAATATTCTAACCTATCGTAAAGATAAAAATTATTAAAAGCATTCCTATATATCTATAAATGTGCATAAAAAAGCATTTAACTTAATCATAAAAAGGCAAACACAGATTAATCCTAAGTACATACATGGTATCAGAATTTATATTAAGAGTTTCGTTGTAGTATTCGTTATTCTTTACGAAACTCGTTACAATACAGACTCCAACAGTTATATATTAACTGTATATACACTTTACGAGATGTAGAATCTAATAAGGGTGTATTTATGGAGAGATCTGTAATGTATAGTCATGAAAAATTTGTCAATAATATAATATTGTACCTAAAAACAAATTGTTAAATTTAGATGCAAATACTATTGATATTATCTCATACATAATTTCCTTATCAAGTGGAATGTTAACAAGCGCGAACAGATCTAAAATAGATCAAAAGTGGCATTTAAACTCATCTTTTTCCGCACGTTGTAAGTCACTACTCGCTGAGTAAATGTAACTATCATCGCCCTTTAATTTTCGCTAGAGATGCGTTCCACTTAACTTTCGCAATTTTCACGTGCATCATTTCATCCCTAACGTTTGTTGACATGAACAAAATGATGCTCGCAAGCGTTGTGAGCGTTAAGTAAAACGCACCCTAGGAGATATCTCGACGAAACAATTAAATAGTTATGTACATTTAAAAATCGGTCGTTTCCTGGCGAAGGGTGTAATATGGAAAGAATATAAAAATAATTTTAATAGTATATACAAACACATTTACCCAGCAATCTCTTGGTATAAATGTTAAGAACTAAGCGATAGTCACCCATACGAATTGAGCAGAAGTCACACGATGTTAATGCGCCTATATATAAAATAATTTTGTTAAGATACGATTGAGTCGCGCGAGTGGCTGTCAGATCTCTTAGATGTTTGTGGTGCATAGAATATGCGCCACAATTCCAAGCGCACCGCCCAAAACGAAGCGAACAAAGTTGTTACCAACTAGAGGTCCTAATGCATAAAGTCCTTTTATTGGCGCGTTAATCACCTCGTATGTGAAATCATCGATTTCAATTGGATTCGATTTGCTATCGATCAGCTTATCTGCAAATTTACCCAATCCCGTACCGCCACCTTCTAGGTATGACAAGTCTGGTTTGTAGCCTGAAAAAAATTACTGAATACAGTAACATCAACGAATTTATGAACTAAATTTACGAACTCAATACTATAGCCAATATCTATTATCATATTCAATCTACAAGTTTTATTAATTTAAGTTATTATTAAGAAGTACATATGATGTTTACCGATAAGAATAGCTGCAATAGATACTGGAAATGTGTGCAGCTGACCGTTTGGAGCGGAAAGAGTGACTGTCCTCCTTATGTTTCCTTTCTCGCAATTTTCAGAAAGACTGACGAGTGTATATCCTGGCAAAGACTTGTACAAAGGATAATTTGTACCTCCGCCAGCCATCATCTCGTACACCTTATGATACTCCGGATATATGGAATCCGGTAGCCATCGTAGTCGATCGTAACTGGTAGTTATTCTCTCGGCGGTTTGTTTGCCCCATTCATTTAACGAATTGCGGAATGCGTGTAACACAGGTATACCTCGAAAGCGTGCGGCCATAATCGCGTCAGCTGCGCTCAGACCAGCTCCGATTACTAACACGGGTGGGATCTGTTCATCGGTCGAATCTTTGCCTACGGTTAACAATTTCTCAAATGAGAACAAATCATGAACGAATTATGTAATAAATAAATGTATGAAAAAGACAAATTTTTCCAGAAGCTGCCAAATTAGGTGCAATCATCTCTCTTTATATAATTTTCCCTTTACGTACCGTACTCGCTGACCAAACATCCTAATCGAGTCTCGAGATCGTTAAGATCGTGTGTCACCCATTGGCGATTCGTGTTCTCCCCATGGATGCCCAGATGATTGGATAAATCGGTCGTGCCAGTTGCAAGAACTGCTCTTTTACACCGATATCGAAATCGTTTTCCATTTTTATTCTCGTACCCGTCTACAATCCAATTGTATCCTCCTTTGCTCTCAGGCGAGTCCGAATTCGGTCTTACTGAAGTAACTGTGGTCCCACTGCAATAGATTATTTCGTGAAAGTCCGCGTTGATGTCGATAACGGTTTTGTGTCAAATATTTCAAATATATACCATCGGAAGTATTGTGTCAAGCCTTTCCTGTGTACGTAGTCCTTGTAATACGCTGCCACGGTACCCATAGAAACTCGACTAGATGCCTTACAAACATTTAGTTTTTCTAGCCGCGCATATACGTCACTGTCTGCGGTTAAAACCGATTTTTGTAACTGTTCAGCTTCGACGAGTTTCTCCCACTGCCTTAGATCCAAGTCGGGAAGTGACATCCATCGGCTCAGACTGATAGTCAGTACATTGGGGTCCATAGACTAGAGATAATCATATTAAAAAGGCGTTAAATTAAACAATACTGAAAGAGCTTTTCATAATATATAAATATGTTGCGTTAAGAATTAAGTAATACTTATAATTAGCCTTATCGATTCCCAACATAAAATTTTTAATTGTTCAATAATTAAAATATTAGCTATTCCAATTTATTAAGACTTTTCCTTTCATCATTTTTCACCTATCGTTTTATGCTTCATGGAAAAGAATTATTTTCAGGATTACAAAGAAGTGAGAAAATATCGTTGATTACGTACTTGCCAAGCACCGCCTGGTTGGCCCTTGCCAAGGACAACGTGGTCCACGATCCTGTGCTCGAGATGCTCGTCAGCGGAAATCCAATCAAGCAGTGAGGACACGTCGAGCCCGGCGTCGACACACGGATGCTGCAGCTGATCCATGAGAAGAGCCAGTGGTCGACCGCCGCCTCTACCCTCGATGCCGGAGGACAGGCATTCGAGTTTGCAGCGTGTGCTGCATGCTAGCCCGCCTCCTTGCGTCCTGCTGACACCAGACTTGGAGTACTGACGACGATTGTTAGTAGTTATATCAGTGTTCGCATCGTCCGGCGTATCACCGCACTCCTCGTTGCTGGTCGTGCAAAACCGCAGTCGCGCTGTCAGCATATCATCGCCAGGATGAGGTTCGCCGGTATAGTAAGGCCAATTTCCGGCGAGCATATACGATAGACATATCCCGCTGGGTCCATTTCCTGAGGACCAGAAATTGTGTAGAATCTTTACTATTTTGACAAACGACCTGAATTATGACTGCTGAGACTCAGAGACATTTTTATTAACCTTCTCACAAGCTTTTTATTTAATATGCTCTTACAATAAAAATGTTAGCTTTGTAGGAAATTAATACTAAAAAATTTGATCAGATTATATACTGGAGAATTGAGAGTTCACTTTTAAAATAAAAGAATTTACTCATTTTTAATCTATAACAAACTAAGTTTAATATAAGATGCGTTATTATTATTAAATTTTCTCAAGACATCT